GTGTGTGTATGTGTGCGTGTGTGTGTCCGCGCGGTTGGAAAAGCCGAGCATTTCCAACCGTGCGGACACAGGGAGAGAGGGAGGGAAAAAAAAACAGAACAATTTTCTTTTTCTTCGTTTTTCTTTTCTATTATACCACTAGTACCTTTGTTGGTTTGAAAATACTCGGCCTCCGACCTTTCAGGAGGCCGAAACGAAACGACAATCATCGATCAGATTTATAAACGGTGGGCTCGGCCTCCTAAAAGTTCGAAGGTAGACCAGTATTTGTCGAAAATAGGCTCGCAGGTACTAGTGGTTTATAAGTCATCACTATTTTCGTTTGTTTTTTTTTTTTGCCCCCCATTCATGTGTCAACCCACAAATCATTGAGCCCGCTCTTGCAGCAACGATTGGGCCTTCCTTTGGCCGACCCCCAAAGCCCACGGCACGTTAACGGCAAACATCCGCGGCCCATGTATAGGCCAAGTACTGATGGTTTAAGGATAAGTATTTAGAACATTATTTAATTTAAGTTTCACAATGGCTGATTCTGATCATGGTCCGCTTACGTCAAACGAGGACAATAAGAGGATCAAAGAACTGATTTTGGAATGCTATACGAACGGGACTTTTCCAAAAAATCTCGCTCCCACAAAGGTGGAAACCGGAAAGGATTACGTGAGAGTATTGATTAACCCTGAAGTCACCAAAATACAGGAGGAGTGGTTTCAGGAGCATGCAATTTCGATCTTCTTTGGCGATGACCCTACGTCCCTACCCATAGACGTTAAAAAATGTTTAGTGCGGATTTACAAAAACGAGTGGGTTTATGCGAGCGACATTTCAACTCCTCCCAAAAGAGGGTTGTTCCATAATGAGGGACGAAACCGTGTGACGTATGTGTCAACAGCCAAAGAGGTTGCAACCTAGATGCTGCGAGCAGGGCAGTCGATTGTAAAATTAGACGAAAAAAAAATACACCCTTTCATTCAGGCCATGGATGATGGAATACGAGCTAAGGGAATGAAGAGAGATAGCAAAACACAAATTATTTTGGATTAGGTGTATGCAAGTCCCAGTAGGAACTCTCCTCCATCTCGCAAAAACCGTGTCTGACGCCTTTGGTCCAATCCTGAAGGAATTCCCAGCCTTCAATGATCCGGTGGAATCTGATTTGATGAACATTCGTTTTGACTTGGATTCGACTGCTCGACTGTAATACAAGCGGTATTTGATTGTAGATCTGGGCAACTTAGATTACGTTGAATTGGATGTCATTTGTACCACTACACCCTGGTGCCCGGCGTGTATAAAGTATTTTCATTCCGGAGGTGATAAAGATTATTGGTCAAAAATCAAAAAATTGTTCGCAAATGTTGTGAATTCCAAAGAATGTACCCCCATGTCGAAGGAGAAGTGGGCATCGGGAGGAGGAGGAGGAGGAGAAGAGGGGGCATGTGGTACCAAGGGGGGAGAAGGGGCGAAGAATGGAGAGGATCGAGATCGCGGAAGCAAGGGCAAAGGGAACGGCGGGAGAAAGGACAGTGGTAAAATGAACGAAGACAGAGGATTTCAAAAGTGGGGAAGGTGCAGGGGGGGGAGGAGCTGCAAAGGGAGACCCACCAACTAAAAAAAAGAAGCCAGACAGAGAGAAGGGCAACATGGGGAAAGACAAGGGTAAAACCAATGGAGAAAAGGGAGAGAAGAGGACCCCCCCTCCTCCTCCTCCTCCTCCTCCGCCCACTTCAAACCCAAGGGCTCCATAAACTAACCAACTAGATGGACAAACCAGCTTAATGAAGATATCGAAATTGACAGTCAATGAGGCTGTCAATATGGAAGAAGATATCGACCAGGTGAGGGGAAAATGGAAATGGGGGGAAAATGTTTTGGGTGAAAAAAATGAACACTTGTCTAGTGATGAAGAAGGCTCACCAGACAAGGCGTTGGTAGTATATGACGAAGATTAGGCACGAAGAGCAGTGACCCCTCTCTCCTCGATATCGGTATTCTCGGAAGAGGAAGAGGACGACGGAGATGAGGGATTAGTGCCCCTCTTCTGTGATCTCAACAGTATCCTGAAACTTCCGTCTAAAACATATACAAACGAGTCTTACGGGTTAGAGGAGTCGAAATCAGAAAAGGAGCAAGAGTCGACTGGAGGAACTCCAACCTTTAAAGTCAAACTACGAAAAATATGAATTCCCTCTGGAAAACCCATCTAGTTCTTT